CGCTTCAGAGACACCTTTTCAAGTGCCAACATGTCTGCAATAATTAACTGTTAAGTCATGAAGAGAAGTTCAAGAAACTCCAAAAAGTAGAAATAATATTATCTACATTCTTTGATTACAATGCAATAAAATTAGACATGAGATAAAAGCAAAATGTTTATCTATTGAGAAAATTTTAAGTTATCTCCTAAAACTCTCATGGGTACCTAGGGTCTGGTGGTACACTTGAGGCAGAAGCCCCCCACCCAAAAATCTCTGTTGAGACGAGATATAGAAAGCTTAAAAAAAAAAAAAAAAAAAAAAAAAAAGCTGCTTCTACTCCAACCATGAGAAAAAAAGGCCTAATGTTGTAATCTACAGAATTATGACTTTTTCTGAGTTTATACGAGAGCTGTTTTTGAGGCAATCGAAGGTTAACAAGCCCCTCTGAGAAGATAAAATATATGAACTGTTTTATCTTTGAAAGTACACAGGAGAAAGAGATGGTCACCACAAAAATGGGTAAGAATAAATCAGCTAAAACATCAACGAAATGTTAAAAGCCAAGTAAGAACTAGGGGGTCACTTTGGAACAGTTAGGAGCACCAGAAATAAGTAGAGCTTACACTGACTCAAAAGCTTTTGCATGAGCTTCCACAAGGTGCTCAGAAAGATGGGGATCAGGCAGGAGGCCATAGGGAGCCCCTTTGGTGGCAAAGCCATGCAGGAGGCCACAAGCTGCTGCTGGAGCCAGGTCCAAAGCCCCTCCATCTCCCCCTAGTCCCTTCTCTCCTAGCCTCTGGCTCCTAGGGCCACTGGCTGCCTGAGGAAAAGGGTTGTTAGTAAACTGTCTACTGAATGAACTAATATATGCAAAATGTTCTCTTAATAGTTGTCAAAATAATATATAATCAAAGCAGTTCAAAACTAATTGTGAGGTTGGGCATGGTAGCGCATGCCTGCAGTCCCAGCTACTTGGGAGGCTGAAGCAGGAGGTTGAGGCTGTAGTGACCTATGATCACACCATTGCACTCTAGTCTGGTAACAGAATGAGACCTTGTATCTTAAACAAACAAACAACTAAATTGTGGTAAAACACAAAACTCATGTACAATTAAGTAACAAGCATGTTAAAAATATTTTGCCTTCTTTCTTTTGTAATTTTCCTTTTTTGTAAAAGATGTGGTCTTGCTATGTTGCCCAGACTGACCTTGAACTTCAGAGCTCCAGCGATCCTCCCACCTTGGCCTTCCCAGTAGCTGGGACTATAGGCATGTACCATCATGCCCAGCTTAGCCTTATTTCTATTAATAATTAAAGAAATAAAAGTTTAAGGATTTATACCTGCCCATGTTACCCACTATGAACACTTTTGCAAAGACTTTTTGTTACAAAAACAATATATGTTCACAATAAAAAAAATACAGATCAAAAATAAAGTATAAAACATCACTGACCAGGTGTGGTGGCTCACAACTGTAATCACAGCACTTTGGGAGGTCAAGGTGGGAAGATCCCTTGAGCTTAAGACCAGCCTGGGTGACATAGTGAAACCCCATTTCTACTAAAAATAAAAAATGAAAAAACTCCAACAAAACAAAACAAAAAGAATATCACCCACCAAAGACCAACCATAGTTAATCTTGGCACATAAACAGATAAACATAGAGAACCTCAAATTTGTGTGATATTTTATATTCATAATTTAATTTTAAAATAGTTTATATGACGTACATTGTGTATTTCTCCCATTTGTCAGTATTCCAAAACCATCTCTCCCTGTCAGCAGATACATTTCTAAAATGGTTTTTAAAGGAAGCATATTTTATTGCATAAATGTACCATAATTTCTTTCTTTTTAACATCATAGTTTTAGTAACCAATTCCCCCTTGAAGGACATTATGACTACTTCTAAATTTTTAACGAATATTTAGGCTAATGAAGGGGAGGGAAATGTCACAGTTACTCCAAAATTTAAATCTCAGTGGTTGAGAAAATAAACTATATAATGGAAATCTTTGACTACTACACTTGATAGTCACCAGAGCAAGCACAGCTGCAGTCTGAAAGGCTTTTTAGCCAGAAAAAAAGAAAAAAATGAAAAGAAGTGAACACATTTATAAAGCTTTCCAAACTGTCTATCACAAATGACCATGGCTTATAGCAGACCTAGCTTCTGGATTGATGATTTGAATCTAGTCATTCATTTTACTTAAGAGAAAGACAGGGAAAAAGTTTCTGTCATAAGATCAATAAGCCCAGAGTGAAAAACAGGTTTCCTCAAACACTGAAAACAGCACCATACAGTTTTTGTTTTTGAATTTGAAGAAAATGTAGGTAAAAGTCTTTAGCATAAAGGGACAGGAAAGGTCTTTCTAAGCACATCACAAGAATGTGAACACATAAAAAGTACCTCAGTAACTTCAGCCTAATCGGTTGAAATAAATGAAGAAACAGAAAAATGTTTGTAACACATAATAGTTAAACAAGGTCAGGCACAGTGGCTCATGCCTGTAATCCTGCACTTTGGGAGGCCGAGGCAGGCGAATCACAAGGTCAGGAATTCGAGACCAGCCTGGCCAACATGGTGAAACCCAGTCTCCACTAAAAATACAAAAACTTAGCTGGGCATAATGGCAGGTGCCTGTAATCCCAGCTATTCGGGTGGCTGGAGCAGGAGAATCGCTTGAACCCAGAAGGCGGAAGTTGCAATGAGCCAAGATCGCGCCACTGCACTCCAGCCTGGGCAAACTGTCTCACAAACAAAACAAAACAAAACAAAAAACCAACCCCCCTAAAACAGTTAAACAATACTTTTTTAATACACAAAGAGTTATTAAACCAGCCAGTGAAAAAAATCAAACTGCTCTCAAAGAGATGAATGGGCAGAAGGCATGAAAAAGCAATTCATGAAACAAATGCCCAGTAAACATGAAAACTGTTGAACCTCAGAGAAATTAAAAAGAGTGACAAAGTCCTGTCTTGGTGATGCTGCTCATGTGAGAAAGATAATGTGAATTGATATCGCCCTTCAGAGTGCCATTTGCAAGGATCAAAATAAAGTATACATAACCTTTGATTCATTAATCTCACTTCTAGGAATTTAGCTTAAGTAGATAATTATACATAATATATATAATTGTACTACACACTGTAGTACTGCTTATAACATAATGAAAACAACCTGTGAATGGAGAATCTGTGGAATAAATTATGGTACATATGTGCATACAACAGAATACTGTGTAGCCACTAACAAATGGTGAGTACTCAGTAGATCTACATTTGTTAGTGGTGAAAACCATCCATGGGACTGCAGACTTTCTAAAAGGAAGAGGCTGGAGAATAGAACAGAGGGTGTCACCTCATCAACAGTTACACAGATTGCTAAACAGAGATGACCTGAAGGATGGCCACCAAACGCTGACAGTGAATTCTGGTGATTTTTATATATGTCATAGTATTTTTCTGGATTATAAAAAACAATAATAAAGGTGTCATTTTAATAAAAATGTTAAGAAGCATTTAACTAACAAGGGGAAAAGCAGTTACATTATGACAGATGCAACTATTCCCAAAGAGATGAATTTTATCTAAATCTAGTTTGGCTATGAAGGCCAGCTGGCTGTTTTATGTCTGCTTTATTGTTTGAGTGTTACTTTGTTAACTGTGGTATAACAAAGAATTTTTCTGGCAATCTTGGGTTCCTGGTAGAAGCTTCAAAACCTTTGTTCTGGTAATGAGGCGATTCAGATTGCACTCTTGGGAGTCAGGGGAGGGCAGGAGATCAAGCTCAATCATGTGGCCAATGATTTAATCAATCATGCCTACAGAATGAGACTTCAATGAAATCTTTGGTCACCAAAGGTCAGTGCAGCCTCCTGGCTGGTGCACACTCCAGGGACGTTCCGGGAGAGTGGGGTGCCCTGACACTAAGAGGAAGGGTCGTGGAAGCTCTGTGAAACTTCCAGGCTTTGCTTTATATGTCTAGTATATAATAAAACTGCAATGATAAGGACAGGACTTTTTTTCTGCATTCTGGTTAATTATTGAACCTGAGGTGGGGACATGGGAACCTCTTGGATTGGTAACCAGCTGGAAAGAAATGTGGGTGGCCTGAGGATCCCCCTGAAACTTGTGAATGGAGTCTGAAGTGGGGGCAGTCTTGTGGACTTTGTCCTTAATAGGCAAGATCTGCAATTACTCCAGGTAGTCGATGTCAGATTTGCAATGCAGTACACCCAGCCGGTGTCAGACCAGGTGGAATGAAATGGAAAAGTAACCATCCTAAGTAATGATATAGTATTATTTTTTGTAACTGATACTTTGAAAAGAAAATGTCAATGTACTAAATGGCCAATAGCTTTGTTGATCAAGATTGTGAACTTTCTACCACAAACAATAAGAAATGTTTCAGCTTCTTGGGCATCCAGATGCCTCCAATCTGCGCCATTCATGTAGCTCTCCCAGGCTGTGCTCCCTGAGTTCCATGGGCCTCCACTATAGCACTCATTCCTGTGTATTGCATTGGTCTATGCCTCTCTCTCACACGCTGTACTGTGAATTCCAAAGGAGGCATCACATCTTCTCCATCTTTGTATTCTCAGAGCCTACCACTGTGCCTACAAAGTAGCAAAGGTGCTATTAAGTTTGGTGGATAAATGAGTCAACGAAATAACTCTCCATAAAAATAACTCCAGTGAAGGAAAGTGCTTGAGTGCAAGCTCAGGTTTGCAACTTCAGTCTTTACGTGCTCTTCTCTCCCTGCCAACCTTTCAATATTCAACTAAATACTGTATCTGGGAGATCAAAGTGATAAGTAACCTCTGCAGAGAAATGGTAAATGAAAACAAGAACTCCTTTAAACATAATAGGAAAAAAGAAAATAGTGTTAAATACTCCTTTTCCTTCTCTCTTAGGTTTTTATGGTCTCTTATGATAGAACGTTAGAAATCTGGCTTGAAGGACTAATTTTTTTCCATGGTCAGAGTGCTTTTATCCTTCTCTACAACTTACTCACCTTTTAACCTGGCATCACCTCCAAAGGCACCACAGCCCCAGTTTCCTGTGGCCACTGCAGAAAGATTCTCTGAAGAAACTCCAGGACGAAGAAATCCACAGTAAGCCTGCAGGATAAAAGAAATATCAAAGCCTGTGAGTACCTAGACACTAACAGTGTTTCTGACTGATGCACTAGGATTAGTATCCATTATCAAGCTATGTTCAATTTCTCATTTTTTTTTTTTTTTCCTTAAGGGCCAAAGTAGAGGGAAAAACAAAGAGCTCAATCATGTGGCCAATGATTTAATCAATCATGCCTACAGCATGAGACTTCAATGAAATCTTTGGTCACCAAAGGTTTACTTCATAAAAACAAACCATGAAACTGAAATTAAACCTCATTCAGTGTTTAGATCAATAATCATGCAAAGGAAGAGACTAAGAAACAATAAATTCTATTATTTATGTATTTGGATCCTAAGCAAATAAAATCCCTCAAACCAATACAAGTCCCAATTTCTTTTTCCAATTCAAACAAACAGAAATGGAAATAGCAGAGCTATACTTTAATGTGCAAAAATTGCTTAGTGAAACTAAGGCCTAATATATAAACTTAAAAACTATAATACCAATGACAAACTACTAGGAAAACCCACCAGGAAAGGCACTTGTTAGAACAGTTTTCTTTTTCTTTAAGGCTTTAATCACTAGTTTTTTAATCAGGCAAAGGGTTACTATTAATGCCTTCTCAGCATTCTCTCTCTTAGTTATGGGGACTAGATTAATAAATGTGCTTCCTGCTACTGAAATGCTTAATAAAGAGCAAGCAACTATCTATAGAAGGTATTCCTATATTTGGTTATGAAATAACCTTTAAGATGCCTTTCGGCTCTATGATTCTCTAGTTTCTCTCCTCTGTTTTAAGCTAGAATATTTAAAATTTTGCCAGTAATCTGAGAAAAATACAATATATTCTGAGGATGCTGGCTAAGTATTAATTAAATAAACAGCTCATTTTCTATATGAGAAGACCATTGTGTAAGATCCCAGAGTTCCTAATTTCTACTTCTTTGTGTCAGCTACTTGGTCTTCCTGCCTTCCTTCTACATTCTTAGTTTTCTGAAGTGATCAGACTGTAACAGGTTTAATACAACAGCAAAGCAAAACTCTCCTGCATTCTCAAGTTCCAAACAAAGCCTAAAATATAGCTTACACATAGTAGCAAATACAGTTAAAAGAATGATCTTGACAAATGTTCCCAGAGAAAAACCAAGGATAAAGAAAGATGCTTCTATGAAACCCACACATAGAAATACAGTAAATTGTTCTCTGAAGTTTCCACAAAGGTATAAAAATTTATTTTACACAGTGCCTGGATGGATTAACAAGGCTATTCCTTCCATACCCTCCTAGACTGTAAATCTTGACAGATATTAATTATAAGTTGGTATCAGATCATTATTCAACACTGTGGTATGGAGCTTACACAAGCAGTCACAAATTACCTGCATAGTCAGATGCATGGAGCTTCTGAAAATCTCTTTTAGGTCAAAAAAACCTGAGAGCTCCATTTTTTTGAATAGGCTCTTGAAAGATAGTCTGTGTCATTAAACGAACAAAGGAGAGAACAAACCCTCTGGAAGAATAAATGTAACTTTGCAGCTTTGTTTCCTGTCAGATTTTTCTAACAGGCCTAGAGAGAAGGAGCCTTCCTCAGACTCCTAGTTCACGTCTCTGTTTTATACTATCAGAATGATCTTAGTTTCTTTCTTATTGCTGTCTCTAAATAACTGGGTTAACTATACTTTAATATGCAAAAATAGCTTAGTGAAACTAAGGCCTAACAATTGAGAATCTGAAACATTTAAATTATTAGACACAAAATCTACTATATAATATTATCCAATTTTCATGGAAAATTATCAATCTTGAAAAATGGCCATTAAAAACAAACAATGAAACTGAAATTAAACCTCATTCAGTGTTTAGATCAAATCTTTAAAAGCTCATGGCCGTGAACCCAGCACTTTGGGAGGCTGAAGTGGGAGAAGCTCTGGAGTTTGAGACTGGCCTGGGCAATATGGCTAGAATCTTGTCTTTACAAAACAAAAAAAAAATGAGCCAGGTGTAGTGGTGCATGTCTGTGGTCTCAGCTACTTGGGAGGCTGAGGAGGGAGGACTGCTTGAGCCTAAGAGGTCTAAGCTGCAGTGAGCCATGATCATGCCTCTGCACTCCAGCCTGTGTGACAGTGAGATTCTATCCCCCACCCCTGCCATGAAAAAATGTTCATTAGATAGAAATTAAATGATAAAATTACACAGAATTTAGAATAACTGGTTACAATGATTAAATACAAAATTATTTTATTCTGTTAAGAACCAAGCATTTGTAAGGTCAGAAGTAAGACAGCAGTAGTATGCTGCCCTGAGCCCTCTTTGGAAAGTCAGCCCAGGCTTCTCCATTCTCTAAGAAGGATGCGTGAAGTGCTGGAGACCAGGGCAGAGCCTTCAGTCAGGGGACCTTTCCTTGTATGAGTAGGAATTGAACTCCTATGGTAAAGAAACAAAGATCAGATAAGGATAGAGACATCAAAAGAGTTGCCAAGCTCTCACTACACACAGAAAGGAACTAGGAGTTCTCAAGAGCTCTATATTGGCAAATGTGTTTGTTTTTCCCCACCCAGAGCAAGAGTACTTGAAAAGACTGATCAGAGCTGCAAGAGTTAAAGAAAGCCAGTTTGGACTCTGGCCATACCCAGACCTGATATTCTGCAATGACAGAGCAATTTATTTTTACTAATAAACAACTTAGAAGGCGGAAAAGGAAAAGGAAGCACTGAGACTTCAGGATAGTAAATAGAAGATACCAATGAACGACCATATCTTGGAATGAGTTTTGATGAGAAGGGGAGAAGACAGAAAACATAAAGGTAATTCAGGAGTTCTGAAGGTTGCAAAGGGATGTGTTGAGAAGCAAGATGAAAATATTAGTACCTAGAGTTAAAAACTAGAGACCAACCAGGAAATGGTTATGATAGAAATGCAGAAAAGAAGTAAAGAAAATGGAAAAGAGACCAAAACAAAACTGGTGTAAAAGTCTACAGGCCCAAAGTCAGGCCCAGGAAAGAGATGGTATCCAGAATAACAGTGTGGCACAAATATGCAACCACACACTTAAGTAAGATCTTTGGCTTCAATATCCATTTTAGCAGGCCCAAGCAGATAGACAGTTGTGCACTGCATACTGATGTTGCAGTCAACAACAAAGCACAAACACAATGATGGTCCCATAAGATTATAACACCATATTTTTATAGTACCTGTCCTATTTGTTTAAGACACAAATGCCTACCACTGCATCACAACTGCCTATGGTATTCAGCACAGTAACATATGATACTGGTTTGCAGTCTAGGAGCAATAGGCCACACCATCTAGCCTAGGTGGGTAGTAGGCTATACACTCTGTGACATGTGCACAGTGACTGCTTCTCAGAATGCATCTCCATCTTTAAGTGATGCATGATTTTACTTAAATGATGTCTTTCATTATCATGTAAATACATTATTCTATTTGCTAAAATAATAATTTAATAATTATTGGTCCTTAAGAGTTGCTCAGTTATATGAAGTTAATCTACTATGCTTGTTTAACTTAATACACAGTGGATATTAATACTGATTTCCTGAGGTTTTTAGTATTCTGTGATTTCTTATGATTTTTTTTTTTTTTTGAGACAAGCCTTGCTCTGCTGCCCAGGCTGGAGTGCAGTGGTGCGATTCCAGCTCATTGCAACCTCCACCTCCCAGGTTCAAGCAATTCTCCTGCCTCAGCCTCCCAAGTAGCTAGGATTACACTTTATCTTTAAAATAATTATAACATTCACACATTGTTTTTGCTATTTTAAAATGCACCATAAAATGAAAAAATTATGCAGATCTTAGTTTCCTCATATGTAAAATCCAAGATTGGGTTGCATTTTTAATGGTTATTATGATTCTATATATTCAGAAACTTAAGGGAAAACTCACTACAAATGATACATTTTGAATATTCTTGAAAAGTAAAATGACACATATTTTATGAAAAGACTGTAAGTGCTCAAATGCTGAACTTCTAGAAATACCAGCAGCAAATATTGACTGGTTTGTTATCATGCTTTGGTTTAATAACAGTCCTATTCCAAATATGGTGGTGGATAATAACAAAAACATCAATAAACAGATCAATTTTTTAAAAACGGCAAATAGGGATGATTTCCATCTCTTCACTTTGTTCAATTCAGATCCAGAAAGTTTCACAAAACATATTCATTACTTAATCCTACCTAACATGGCAAATACAACTTTTCACAGGTGATTTCTTTCTTCCCTTGCAGAGCTATCTGCCACTTTTACAAGCTGAAGTCATAAATCTTTCTAACCGTAAGATAATTCTCCTTTAGAATGTCTCCTGGCTGATCTCTCACAGGATTAAACATTGCTTCACAGTTTCAGTTAGAAACAAGGAGACTGGTTTTTCTCCTTCAAAAACCAACTCTACTTGCAGGTCACAATGTAGATCCAATAAGACCAATGGAGCCTGGATGGAACAGACCTTTCCAGAGTCCTGGAAAGCACTTTGTAGGATTGGCGTTTCAATTATTAACTGGTGAGTAATGCTTAAAAGTAGCCAACAAATCCCCAGAGGTCAGAGATCCATACTGAATTCTGATGGTGAAAACTGGTCTTAGGTTTGTTGTTTTATTTAGAAAAATATGGGTTTTTTTCTTTTCCTCCTTTCTCTCTGGCATGCGCGCGCGCGCGCACACACACACACACACACACACACACACACACACACACACACACAAAGGAGAATTGTGCAAGTTATATCTAAAGTGATTTAACATAGACTTCTGCTCTAAAACAAAGTTTACAAAACATGAGATATTGGGCCAGGTGTGGTGGCTCATGCCTGTAATCCTAGCACTTTGGGAGGCAGAGGCAGGAAGATCACAAGGTCCAGAGATCAAGACAATCCTGGCCAACCTGGTGAAACCCTGTCTCTACTAAAAATACAAAAATTAGCTGGGCGTAGTGCTGTGTGCCTGTAGTCCCCGTTACTTGGGAGGCTGAGGCAGGAGAATCACTTGAACCTGGGAGAGGGAAGTTGCAGTGAGCTGAGATTGCACCGCTATACACCAGCCTGGTGACAGAGCGAGACTCCGTCTTAAAAAAAAAGATCTGAAGTCAGGGGAGCCTGGATTTGAGCGCTGGTTTGGTCACTGCCCAGCTATGTGACGTGGCCTGGGACCAATTACTCAACTTCCTAAGACTCAGTTCACTGTCTCTAAATTAGAGACAAGAAAAATAAATCAGACACTGTATTTAAAGCACTAAGTAGAATGCCTCATTCACAGTAAGCAATCATTTAATGGCAAGAATTACTTTTACTATTGTTATCTGTATAATTTGAAAAAAAATGCCACCTGCATTTAACTGAAAATAATCTTTTATGAGTTATAAATTAGACTTTATTCCATATTGACATGAATAATGGTAGGTTGAAAATAAATTCAGAACTGCATCACTATACATTAAAAATTAACCCATCTGCTTCATATGGCTTCATCTGTCCCAAATTTGATTTGACACTGGACTTACTAGGCTTATTCAGCACTTGAAGAATATTTAGGAAATATCTAACAATTTGTGACATATGGAGTGATTTAAGATGATGTACTTATGTAACTTCTAAAATGTTTATCTCAAAAACCTATATTAACATTGTCTAAGAAGTTATTTAATCATCAATTAAGTCATTTAACAAAATATTTTTGAGACTTCCATAAGGCAGTGTGACCAACCCTCATCAACTCCCAATGAAATAAAACTCCTGTTGCCAGATTTCTTAAAGACTCATTCTTTGTATAAAATGCACCTCATAAGGACTCCATATTCTAAAAATAAATGGTCTTCCATGTTGCCAATACTTACAACTAACCTAACCTATTCACATACATCTTTAAAATTTCTGGTGTCTTTGAGGACGGGCAAACTGAGGGTTGGTGATATACAAATAAGTGCAGAGAGAATCAACTGGATATGCGCAATTTAAAAAAGACTTATTTATGCCCAAAATCACCTTCTTAAAAAGATCATAATTGAAGATAACTTCTAAAAGTGAGTAATCTAGTTCTCATAGGAAAGAATATGTAGGAGTGGACTTTATTCATAAAAAAGGGAACCTTTCAGTTTGTATTCATGTATAACCGTGGCTAAACACATTTTGGTTCTACTTTCCTTTTCATATATTTCTCTTCAAACTACCCACTGCTTATATAAATGTCCCCTTGACCATGTGACAAATTCACATACACATGTTTAGGTGAGTAATGCCTGTTGAAAATTTAAAGATAAATCTTACTCTGCTCCATATACTCTATCATAAAAAGATCATGCCACCGGGGACAACTGCTTTAAGGCAAGAGTTTTTAACAGTGAAAGTAGGCTTACATTTAAAATGTATCCAGTTCTTAGTAAAAGTTACTCTTCAGGCAGGGCATGGTGGCTCATGCCTATAATCCCAGCACTGTGGGAGGCCGAGGCAGGGCAGATCGCTTGAGTCCAGAAGTTTGAGATTGGCCTGGGCAATATAGTGAAACCTGGTCTCTCCAAAAAAGAAAAATTGGCCGGGTGTGGTGGTCAGTGCCTGTACTCCCAGCTACTCAGGAGGCTGAGATGGAAGTATCACCTGAGCCCAGAGAGGTTGAAAGTCTGCAGTGAGCTGTGACTGCGCATGCCACTGCACTCCTGCCTGGGCAACAAAGACCCTGTTTCAAAAAAAAAAAAAAAGATACTCTTCAGTACAGGCAAATCTCTGACTTTCAGAATCAGGTAGGAGAGAACTTTTAGAATTATTGATACACCAAAGGCCAGTCATTCTGGATAGTTTTTCTCAGGAACTATATTTTATTTTTATTTTTAAATAAATGATGTCTGTTATGTAAGTTCAACTTTAAAGTCCAGTGCATTATTCTTCAAACATTTTATAAAATTTGAGAACTCTAAACATTAAAATAATTTAACAAATTACACATACGAGAACATATTCAACAATAAGATTCTTCCAAATGGATCAGTATATAAGATACCTAATTATGTTCAAAATATCTAACTAAGTTGTAAGTGTAGTAAAAGTCTGTCTAGATCACTGCTGTTATTCTCAGAAGTCTGTGTAGGAACTGGCACACCACGTGTAGCCATGTAAAATTACAAGCCTCATTATCCTAATAATCTCACAACCAAATCCTACTCATGGGAGTGAAACAATGATTTTCAGAATTGGGTCAGTCTTCTTGGCTATATGAATAAGAAAATCTTTGCCGAGTGAATAATTTGAGGAACTAAAGAAAATCTCTGCTGTTTTGGGAAGGCCCAAAATCTAGAAAATATAATCACCACTCTATTGTGCAATAGAGTTTATTTATTATGGCTGCCAAAACTAAAGATCTGAACAACAGATATGGCTTATTTTTATATTTCTGTAATACCAAAAAAAAAAAAAAAAAAAAAAATGAACATAGCAGGCGGCTCTAAGTATTGCATAAAATAATGGATCCCATTATAAATCTTACCTAAAATAGAATAACATTTGACTTGGCTTTTTCAGTTTTTCTGTTTTAACTCTGATAGCATACTTTGCAGAGGAAATGTCATTGGGCAGGTCTGAGAAAAAATTTTCAGAGCTCATTCATTTCTACATGGTTTTACAATGATAATGTTCCATAGCAGCTAAGGTACTTGATGAGATAAATGCATGTGTGGGGTTTAAAACCAAGCAACAGCCTATCTGGCAACCTTAGCTGCTAATCAAACAATTACAAAATGGAAAGTACATCTTGTACAAGCTGACAGAGTCATTAAATCAGGAGAGCTGTGGGCAGACATACTGACACTGCAAGAATTACCAGAAAGCATTAATTTCAGCATTAATAAAATGGCAGTAAATAGATGACAGCTGCCAGATGAACTAAGAAATAAGGTTACTGGCCTTGTTAAGCTCGCGTCTCATTTTCTCAGGCACAAACTGATCGAGGTAGCGTCTGAAGTGAAGAGCATCAATGGCAACGATCTCAGTGCAGCGCCGCTGCCAGTCGTCCCTGGGACAGAACGAAAAGGGGAGAAAGATAAGGAACAGGACCGATTTTATATCGCACAAATAAAATCCTCTCAGGGGTCAGGTTGCCAAGACTTTAGCTGTGTTAAAATATTAAAAACAGGCCGGGCGCGGTGGCTCAAGCCTGTAATTCCAGCACTTTGGGAGGCCGAGGCGGGTGGATCACGAGGTCAAGAGATCGAGACCATCCTGGTCAACATGGTGAAACCCCGTCTCTACTAAAAATACAAAACATTAGCTGGGCATGGTGGCTGTGCCTGTAATCTCAGCTACTCAGGAGGTTGAGGCAGGAGAATTGCCTGAACCCGGGAGGCGGAGGTTGCGGTGAGCCGAGATCGCGCCATTGCACTCCAGCCTGGGTAACAAGAGTGAAACTCCATCTCAAAAAAAAAAAAAAAAAAAAAAAAATTAAAAACAAACAAACCAGTGTCTGCAGGTCTCAGCAAAACAGCAGGGAAGGAAACACCCTTTATTTCTAGATTGAGGCATATACAGTATGCAGTATCAGCCATTAAAAAGTAAAATGAAAAATTACCCAGAGACAACACAATGGCATCATGTAAACAGGTACACCATTTATAGTAAGTCTCAGAAGTTAAAGGATCTGGGGGCAAACAAAAGGAATTTAGTTCTTTGTTTTCCTCTAAAGACATGGCATTTGCATCCTGACAAAAGCTCATTCCTCCTTTGCTTTGAGAGATCTGCTCTAAGTCACTGGGGTTGTAACATCACTATATATTGTCCAAGAAATAATCCTAAGAAGTGTTACAAAAATGTGAAATAATTCCGTCAGCATTCTACCTACTGTGCTCAACTGAGGACTGTGAGAAACTATTTTTAAAATAACAGAGACATCAAAGCAGAGAATAACATGTTGCCTGTGGAAATAGAAAGGACTGGTTGAGATGATAATTTTGAAAACATGTAAAATCCCAAATATTTAATCTCTTTATAAACTTGCATATACTGCTATGCCATTTCTATTGTCGGTGTTCACACTGAAAACCAACAGAAATTTTCATGCTGGTTTGTAAATAATTATCACAAATAAACATCTATATAGATGTTTGTTGCAACCACATATTTTAAACAAAATAAAGAGAAGGAAAGCAGAGGATGGACTTGAGACATTACAAAGAATAAATTTGTGGCACGTGGGCAAAAGCTGATTCTTTCTGGCACAATGGCTTTCTCATCAAATAACAAACAAAACAAAAGAAAACAAAAAACTCCACAAGCTATTAGGTAGCATTTCTGCAAAATTTTATTTCTGGTAAACTAGAAGCAAGAATGTCAAAGTGGAAGACTCTGTTGCAAGAAGAAACAGGAGATAGGAGCAGCAAAGCCCACTGAAGGTTCTGCCATCAACTGGTTTGTGGCATTAGGTCAACTTCCCAACATAGGTTTCCTCTGTCTACCTAATTTCACAGAAAAATTAAAGATAACTTAAGCTGGTCAAAGGCTTTAAGCTCTAATTGAACCTATTCTAATCAGATTTAAGCATGGAATTGAACTTCCAGGGCTTCTGATTGTAGCTCAGAGGTAAAGAACTGGAGAGAATTCTGTCCCTCTTGGTCTTTGCTTTAGACTTTCGGTTTTATCTTCTCTGTTCTTCCCTTTGATACAGAGAGATGGTAATAGTATTTTAACTGCTAATGAACCTGTAATGCTGATTCCTTTCTTTCTTTTTTTTTAAGTTCACTTGTTGAAATAAGGGTAGAGGGAGTAAGAGTGTATCGGGGTCAAGCCCACATTCCTTTGCTTTTAGCCATGCAATTCTGAAGACAGAAACAGACTCACCTTTCACTCCTATCTTCATGGCTCCGGGCCCAACGATATGTCTCAGCATAGCCTGTGTATTCGCTGTACTGCTCAGTACCTGAAACAAATAATCTGTCACTATTAACTTCACACTCAGTGGCAAAAACATTCCACCTAACATAACACGGCAAGGATCACTTCTATTTAGTACTATAGCGAAGGTCTCCTCAGCCAGTGCAGTAAGGCAAGAAAAGAAACAAAAAGGCATAAAGAATGTAAAAAAAAAAAAAAAAAAAAAAAAAGTCAAACTGTCCCTATTTGTAGATGTCATGATTGTTTACATAGCAAATCCTAAGGAATAACTGAAATAATGAAAGAGACTAGGCATGGTGGCTCACACCTGTAATCCCAGCACTTTGGGAGGCTGAGCGGATGGATCACATGAGGTCAGAAATCCAAGACCAGCCTGGCCAACATGGTAAAACCCCATCTCTACTAAAAATACAAAAGTTAGCTGGGCATAGTGGTGTGCGCCTGTAATCCCAGACACTAGTGGGGCACAGGCAGGAGAACTGCTTGAAGCCAGAAGGCAGAGGTTGCAGTGAGCCGAGATCATGTCACTGCACTCCAGCCTGGGAAGAAGGGGAGAAACAAAGTAAAGAAAGAAAAGGAGGGAAGGGAAAAAAGAAGGAAGGGAGGAAGGGAGGGAAGGAGGGAAATTAAAATAAAGAAAAAGCATATAAGTAAACTTAGTAAGATCAAGGGTATCTCTATAAACTAGCAGCAAACCATGGGAAAAGAAACATTTTTTAAAAAATCTACTACCCATAATGTCAAAAACCATAAAACATCTAGGAGTAAATGCAACAACAAAGAAGACACTACTGGCGAGGCACAGTCGCTCATGCCTGTAATCCTAGCTAGCACTTTGGGAGACCGAGGTGGTAGATCACCTGAGGTCAGGAGTTCGAGACCAGCATGGCTAACATGGTGAAACTCCCTCTACTAAAAATACAAAAATTAGCCAGGTGTGGTGATGCCTGCCTGTAATCCCAGATACTCAGGAGGCTGAGATAGGAGAATCGCTTGAACCCAGGAGGCAGAGGTTACAGTGAGCAGAGATCGCGCCACTTCACTCCAGCCTGGGTGACAGAGCAAGACTTCTTCTCAAAAAAAAAAAAAAAAAAAGATGACACTACTGAGAAAAAGAAAACTTAAGCAAATGGAGAGATATACTATGCTTGAGATAGAAAACTCAATATTGTTACAATGTTAATTTTTGATATAAAGATTCACATCAATCTTAAATAATGCAAGTAGACTTTAAAATATAATAATTAAGAAGGTGATTTAAAAATTAAAATACATGGAAATGCAAATAATCCAGAATGAACAACAACAAAAAAAAAAATTGAAAAAAAAAACCAAGAAAATTGGAGCACTCAACAACCTAAGCTGAACACTTACTTAGTCTTGGCTTTCAGAAAGACCAAGAGGTCAATGGAATTAAGCAGGCTCCGTAAGTACATCCACACTTGTATGGTCAACTGATTTTCAACAACGATGCTAAAATAATCCATCAGAAAAAAAAATAGCTTTTCTACCAAATACTGCTAGAATAAGTAGACATTCATCGAAAAACCACCTTAACTGTGGCTGCACACTAAAAATAAAAATAAAAATTATTTTCAGACGGACCAGACGTAAACATAATACACAAGGCTATAAGACTTCCAGGAGAAAACATAGGAGAATAGCTTTCTAACACTGGGGGTAGGTATAAATTTCTTAGACAGGATAAAGAAAGCAGTGACCATAAAATTTACAAAACAAAAACTAGAATAAGCGAAATCAAATACTTCTGGTCATTAAAACTCCTTCAGGGCTGGGTGTGGCAGCTCATGGCTGTAATCCCAGCACTTTGGGAAGCTGAGATGGGTGGATCACTTGAGTTCAGGAGTTTGAGACCAGGCTAGCTAACATGGTAAAACTCTGTCTCTATTAAAAATACAAAAATTAGCCAGGCATGGTGGCACGTGCCTGTAATCCTAGCTACTTAGGAGGCTGACGCAGGAGAATCACTTGAACCTGGGAGGAAGAGGTTAAAGTGAGCTGAGACCACGCCACTGCCCTCCAGCCTGGGTGACAGAACAAGACTCTACCTCAAAAAAAAAAGAAAAAAAAAAAAAGCCCAAAAAACACCTTCAAGAAAATGCTTAGACAAGACTGAAGAAAAAATATTTGCAAATTATTAAATATCTGACAAAGGACTTGTGTTCAGAATATGTGACAAACTCCTACATGTCAATAATAAAAACACAACCCAATTTAGAAAAATGGACGGAAGACTTGAATATAAACTTCACACAGAAAGATATACAACTGGCTAACAACCACATGAAATATTGCTCAACATTATTAGTCATCAGAGAAATGCAAATTAAAATCACAGTGAGAAACCACCATACACTCAAAAAAGAGGCTAAAATAAAAAGAATGACAACACTAAATGTTGATGAGGATGTAGAACAAGTGGGAAATCTCATTATATATTGCTGGTAGAACCTAAATTTGTATGGAAATTTTATTTCCATACAAATATACTGCTGATAGAACATAAATTTGTATTGTAAGGAAAACAGTTTGGCAATTCCTTATAAAATTAAACATACACATATCCTTTGACCTAGAACTTCCATTCCTAGATATCTATTCAACGGAAATTGAAAATGTGTGCTCACAAAAACTGCATAGAACAATGTTCACAGCAGGTTTATTTACAATAGACTTGTATCAGTCACTGTTCAACCAGAGAAATGGAACCAGTAGGACATATATACAAAGAGATTTATTACAAAATATTGGCCTACACAATTGTGGAGCTGACTAGTCAGGTCCAAAGGGTGGACTGGAACTCTCCAGCATGGGGTGAAGCGGCAGTGCACAGAGTAAATTTTCTCTTCAGAGAAACCTCAGTTCTACTCTTTAGGCCTTTCATCGGACTGAATCAGGCCCACCCAGACTACTGCTTATTTAATGCAAATCATATTGAATGTGGCTGGGCACAGTGGCTCAGGCCTGTAATCCCAGCACTTTGGGAGGCTAAGGTGGGCGGATCACTTGAGGTCAGTAGTTTGAGACCAGCCTAGCCAACATGGTGAAACGTTGTGCCTACTAAAAATATAAAGATTAGCTGATCATGGTGGCGGGCACCTGTAATCCCAGCTACTTGAGAGGCAGAGGCAGGATCATCACTTGAACCCAGGAGGTAGAGGCTGCAGTGAGCCAAGATCACACCACTGTACTCCAGCCTGGGCAACAGAGTAAGACTTTGTCTCAAAGGAAAAAAAGAAAAAAATAATAAGGCTTATTGAATGTAATTAGATTAACTCGCTTACTTAAAGTTAACTGGTTGTAGACTTTGATCACATCTATAAAATACTTTTACAGCAATACCTAGATTAGTGTTTGATAGAATAACTGGGGGCTGTAGCCCAGCTAAGTCGACATTAAAAAAGACTATCACAAAACTAAAAGTGGAAACAATCCAACTATTGATAACAAATTAACAAAACATGTGCCATGATCACACAAAGGAATATTCCTTAGTAATAAAAGGGATAGAATCACCGATACATTCAAAAACAAAAATAAATCTCACATTATGCTAAACAAAAGAAGAAACAGAAGTATGTATGATATATATTTACATGACATATTTCATTATAAAAAAAGACAAAAGTAATTTATAATGAAAATAACAAAAATTGTGGTTTCTGGGGTTGGGGACTGACCAGAACAGGGCTTAAGGGCATTTTCTGAGGTGACAGACATGTTTTCTTTTATGTCTTGACAAGGGGGTGTGGGATTTAAGAGCACATCTGTTTGCCAAAACTCACCATATTGTCCACTTAACATTGTATACTTCCATGTGTATAAATTTTACTTCAAAAATAAAAAGAACTGTAAACAAATAGTGAACTCCATTTAGCAGGTTTACTTTCTGCAGTGGCATGGTTTAGCAGTTCTGAAACCACCTTTTGTACAGACTAGGCTTAAACAAATGAGAAAAGTTGAATATATTGGGAACCACATTCTTCATTGTTGGGGAAGAGAGTTCCAATTATGGAAGTGAGGAAAGACTACAATATAGGCAGTGATGCTGGTTAAGAATGGGAGGCATCAGTACAAATTCACAGGTGTGTGTGTGTGTGTAAGCAACACGTGTTCTAGTTCAGATCTTGGCTTCTAAAAACTATGTAACTAAAATCCAAGACTACTTGCAGAAATGGTTGATTCTGTAACTGGTGCAGAGAATATATAAGATGAGCCTACAACATCTTTTTGTGCTAAAAAGATGGAGGTGCTCAAAGAAGGAGGTGCATTAAAGAATGATGAGTACATGTCAATGGCACACAATAGTTAACTTGAAGGCATTCCCACTGATTGAATATGGGACAATTTAGCATCAAATAGATAATAGCAATGGGTCATAATCCACTGAATTTAATAAGAATGCAAGTGTCTATACTTACATACATATTAAGAGAAATTAATAAATAAGTATACACAAATAAGGAAAAAGGGAAAATCCTTCCTTATAGTAGAATGCCAACTACTAAATATATAATGAATGGGAGTTTAAAAAATTATCAATGACTGCTAAAATTATTAGGTGAAAGTTTGATGACAACAAGATATTTACAGTTTCAAAGCATATAAAATATATAGCAAGAGATTAATTACAGAACGAAAATGAAAAACCTGAGAGTGGAGGAACATGGTCGATCCAACTTACCAATTCATGGTACCTATATCACAAATATTGAAACAAACTGCTATCATGTGTCTCCTCAAAAGATATACTAAGTAGGACACAATATCATTTCAGTGGTATTCCCACCAAAATGAATAACCTGAACCTGATTAGGAAGAAGGAGTGAGCAAACACAAAAAGGATAATCTACAAAATAACCAGCCTACCCCCTTTAGAAATATCAAGGTGAACGAACACAAGGAAAGGCTGAGAATGGTTCCAGTTTAAAGAATACCAAGGTACGGGCCTGGACTAACTGAAGACTGAAAAAGAAAGCTACAAAGGTCATAACTGGAATAACT